TTGCACTTTGCACTGCATCAGACAGCAAACATTATTATTATTTCTGTTTTTCTTTGAAAATGTTGTCTAATACAATCACGCAAAAATCCTATTAGTATATTTTAGACAGGCAAAATTGACAACGCATGTAACATACATTGTTTACACAAAAATTGAATGAGTGATGTAATCAACATCACAAGAAGCTGTCTATCAGGGGTTATACCTGGTCTGTCATTCTCTGACGTTTTCTTCTCGTCATATTTATCCCACTCTTTGATCAGATCTTGCGGATATTTTCCTTTGATTAATGATACATCTTTCAGTTCTATGTAATTGGCCGTCATATTATCAACACCATACCGCAAAGCACTCAATTCCCTGAAAGAACAAGAATGTGATTTTATAGTCACTGTTATTGAAATTTTTTTCATTTTATTTCCATTTTTCACAGAAACATGAATATACCGGTAGTACTGAAGTAGAGAGCAGCCTTTTACTCTATTAAGAGTGCATGCACTTACGTAAATAAATAATAGATGTATATATGGTCAAAATAATTTGTATTTTAATGATCCAGTATTATAATCAATATATTTTTTATCTATATGCACTTTTATTAGAAATGAGCAAATACGGTGTACAATATAAGCTTGCTTATGGCATGCCATTGATAAATTATATGAAGAGCGCCCTCAGTGCTATTTAATGGCTATGATAGGATTCTTATATTCGTGACTTGGACATCATTGCTGACAAACCTTGATATGACTATTTCAGGTAAGATGTCTTCAAATGTTTTCTGTGGTTCATCGTTCACCAGGAAATCACCTTCAATTGGTATGATCTAGGGAATAAATTATACCATATTTCTTCTATTAGTACATACACTTATATAATGTACAGAGACGCTTTAATGGTTAAAATAAGTCATATTTTAATGTTTTTATTGGAGATGTACTTCTAATAGAGCAAATAAGGTATTCTAAAGAGAATTTATAAACTCTAGACTGGGTACATAAAGGTCACACATCCTGGTACTTGCTGACTGTGGTGTATTACCTCTAATTGGTTATACAATATGCAAATAACATGCAAATTAGACTGGGTACATAAAGGTCACACATCCTGGGTACTTGCTGCCTGTGGTGTATTACCTCTAATTGGTTATACAATATGCAAATAACATGCAAATTAGACTGGGTACATAAAGGTCACACAGTCTGGGACTTGCTGCCTGTGGTGTATTACCTCTAATTGGTTATACAATATGCAAATAACATGCAAATTAGAGTGGGTACATAAAGGTCGCACAGTCTGGGACTTGCTGCCTGTGGTGTATTGCCTCAAATTGGTTATACAATATGCAAATAACATGCAAATTAGACTGGGTACATAAAAGTCACACATCCTGGTACTTGCTGCCTGTGGTGTATTACCTCTAATTGGTTATACAATATGCAAATAACATGCAAATTAGACTGGGTACATAAAGGTCACAGTCTGGTACTTGCTGCCTGTAGTGTATTACCTCTAATTGGTTATACAATATGCAAATAACATGCAAATTAGACTGGGTACATAAAGGTCACACATCCTGGTACTTGCTGCCTGTGTGTATTACCTCTAATTTGTTATACAATATGCAAATAACATGCAAATTAGACTGGGTACATAAAGGTCACACATCCTGGTACGAGGCCACAGAGGCTTTTATGAGAACTGTCTTGTGAAATGCTAGAATCATCAAACAGCAAAAATTGATTTCAGTGAAAATATAATGGTTTACTGGATAATTTTCGTTCACTGCGAGATCTCCCCTATTACGTTGAAAGCCAAATCGAATGTTTTCCACAAATATCAAACGATTTGATTTTAAACTTGTATTCCTTTTTTTATATCTCAATGTGAAAATGCTGATCTTTCAGAGAAGAATTCGGCATTGAGATATCCTTACTTCATCAAAATTGATCATCATCATGAAATGTGTTATATCACATTATTAAGTGTGGAAATACTTTAATTTGTCAAATTACCAGTACACTCAATGTTACATGTATGACCTTTGTTTCTCCCATTGATTTCACGCACATCGCAGGATCTCGCAATGAGTGAAAAATGGTTGATTACCTTCAGCGCCAGAGAATGCCTCCTGACCTCCATGCGGAATACTTCTCCAAAGGTACCCTCTCCAATCTTGCAGCACTTCTTTCGTATGGCTGCTGGAATACATTTAGTGAATGGTATGGTGTTTATTTGCTCACACTGCAGCAACACTTTCTCCCTAGCAGACATAATCTTATCTTTAGGTTTGCAGGGTGTCAGTGCTTCCTATGGAAATGATATATTAAGCATCAGAATATGATTATTTAAATTATTTGATACTCTGAATTTGTGCAAATTGCAAGAAATTAGTATGCACTAAAAACTCAATATTCAATGCATTAAAAAGTTGGCAATCATTCTTGCTTTCAATTTGATTGTACCGATAGTTAATTTGCTACGAATTCTGAATAGTATTTCAAAAGGGATGGGATCACATAGATTCACAACTTTTGCATATTATAGTGTCTTGCAGTATTTTGGTACAAATCAGTCAAAAAATGTGCACGTATTCATAAATCGAATACATCAGATAGTCCCAAGACCCCAATATGATCTTGAGGTGTAATTTTGATTTATAAACTGTAATCTCATCAAATCAAATCAAGTATCAACAATTGTACACTAACACCATACATACACTGTAATTGGTTATACCGGTATCTCTTGGCTGATGATAGTTCTTACTTCTTGAAAAGCCACAAAAAAACATGTATACCTTGTGGTATACCATCACTTGTACATCATACCAGTACATTCTCAACTTTCAGCTACTCAAAGATAGTTCAGCTTGATTTCAAAACTAACACCTACCATATTTGTTCTATTAGTAGCACATGCATTTTATAATACATAAATCGGAGTTATTTCTATGGTCAAAAATAAATAATATTTCATTGATTCAGTATACAAAAATTCAATTTTGGATTTACATGCGCTTCTAATAGAGTAAATACGGTATTAATTGTGCAGTTTTCTGTCTAAAAATATTTTGTGATACCGGGTAGTAATGTTGGTAAAACACTTTGATTGCATTGCATTGCATACTCAAACAAAATTCCAAAGTTTTGCTAAAAAATGCCAGAGTCAGCAGAGAGCCAAGTTGGGCCATAATAGTGTATGTGTAAGTGAAATGCTTAGTTACAGCGGGCGCAAGATATTTACATACACCTAACTCCCGCACCCGGTAGGTGATTACCGAGGGACTTTGCAACATCCCCAGACTCTTCCCTAGACACTCCAATGACCGTTGTAGACGCAATAAAGTTACATACCCACTCACATGACAATTAATCAAAACACCGGACGCGGAATGCCTTTGATGTTTGGCCACGAGGAACGAGAGGTAGTTGGACTATTCCATTGCTTTGTAGGAACAAAAATCATTGCTGTGTAACACTTGAGAGAAATATAATACGAACATAAAACTGGGAATGAATATTAACAAGAAATGATAAATATAAATTCTTTTGATTTGTAGTTTGTTGAGATGTTGTCAATGGATTTATAGTAATAATATTAGCGTTGTGAGTGTCCCTTTCAATTTCTCGCATAATGGCTGGTCCCATTGCCAGTTTGCCAGAACACTCATCGCCCAGTCAATCTTTCCCTGGAATCTTTTACTTTTTTCACCTCCACACTGTCACCATATACCAGTTTCAAATATCCTTCAAATTGCAGACAAAATTCAATAAACTTAACAATTTCTTATGTAACATTCAGTCGACGACCGCCGCTCACTGACTCCTTTCGAAACGTATCCAACTGATGCGACAGAAATGCGGCACAGTCCCTTGAACCATTGCCGTCGCTAGTCCAACTTCCTTCGCCGTCGATCATTCGCGAGAGGCGAATAATCTCCATCTCAGTGTCCTTGTCTAAATGCTTTGACATAATAGCAATAATTGTTCAAAATCAGAAACTGTATTCAAAACGAGGAAAATTTAGGTATTTTCATTATATCATTATATGTTAGGGACGTTTTTAAATATTTGTATCAACTAGGTTTATTATTTTCGTGAAACGTTCAAAATAGGATGTATTAAATGAACGAGCATATGTATGTATGAAATAATAAAGTGTCCGATATCAACAATGATTAAAACATGATTGCTTGATGAATGTTTGTTGACCATCTGAAGCCCTGGTCCGTTGTTATGATAAATTGTCACGTAGGCGTGTATGTAAATTTATTGCGTCTACAGCGGTCGTTGGAGCGTTTAGCAAAGTGTCTGGAGATGTTGCAAAGTCCCTCAGTAATTACCTGTCGGGTGCGGGAGTTAGGTGTATGCAAATATCTTGCGCTCGCTGTAAAATGGTGGGTAACTTTCAGCCTACAGGCAAAAAGCTTCCAATATCTTGCGAATATTGTAACTGTGTTGTATCAATACATATAACTGCAAAAGTCTAAAATAAAACAGTCTATTTCTATCACAACTACAAAGTAATTTGAGTAAAAATACTTGTACGACAAATAACCCCAACTTACTTTAAATAATTCAGCCTTTTGTTTTGACTTGACGGTTTTCTTTGCCGGTGTCATGACACCTGCACATTCTTCCATTTCAACATCAGCTTCTTCGCTACTATGACTGTGAATACTCAGCAGAGATAATTCCAACTCCATATCTTCCACGCTATCGTTGTGCAACCTAGAGATGTGTTTATCTATAGTCCGTGGCGTGAGTGCATTCAATTTCACAAAACAGTCCTGCTGTGGTGTTTTTTTAGCACCACTGCCGCAGTAGTAACTTTTGAACACTGCCACAGCTCGCGTTTTGAGCTGCAGTATTAGTAGAACTGTCACTCGCAGTATTTAGGTGTGTTTTTTCAATATGACCACTCAGATTACTACTATCATTCATTATTTCCATGGCACAGTCACCAGCATTGTGTGGATTTAATACTTTACTGGTAGAATCACCAAAACTGTTGTGTTGGGACACGTTGGCAAAGTTTGGTGTCTGTATTTTGCTTAAGGACACCGAACACTGTTTAACCTTAAATCTATTGCCTGAAGTAACAGCATCAGAAACACATTTCAAATCGTAAGCATTCTTTTGAAGTGAACGACCCTGGTTGTTCCGGACATAGGGTGTACTAGTTGAATAGTCCATTTTTATACTCCCTCCAGAATGATTGGGGATAATTTCATTACACACACTGCTGTGTAGTATGGGAGGTGTGGCTTCAGTGTTCTCTGATACTAAATCTTCTACTTTTGGAGTGGAGTTCTCTATAGCTAGTACATATTTATCGATGTCACTTAAATCTAATGCAATTTTATCTCTCTCAGTCTGCTCAGTGTCTTTTTCAGTGTTTTTCTGCACTCTGCTTCTGGTACTCAGCTTTGTATACTTGCGGGTCTTTTTGTCATTCCTGATGCCCTTTTTGGTGTCTTCTTCCGATGGTTTTGTAAATGATGGTAAACACTTCGATAATTCCTGGACAATGAGATATACAATTAATGCACATTACTATGACAACAATACTGTGACAGAATTATGCTGATTTATATCAACAAGTTACGGTATGGTACAGTAACAAGATTTCTACACGTTTCATCTCATCAATCTGTGCAAGAGAATATTTACCCTCCTAACAGTAACATTAGGCAAATGATCTTCTCTCAAGCACAAACGTACATATGACAGTATGGAAACAAACATGTTGCAATGCTATGCAATAACTGTGACACTTTATATTATTCTATTTTCCATCATCCAGACGAAAACACCACTGATACCAGAATTTGCATGAAGATTAATTAAAGCGGGGGAGTCGCCACCTGCGTATGCGTCAGATTGCCATAGCGTGTCATTGTTTACAAACAAGCGTCTACTCATGAGCCTTTTCATTTTTAGTGTGTGTTGTTATTGTCGCTTGGGACTCAATTCCCGCGCGTGCGCAGGTGACGACCCTCTCGCTTTAACTTACTGATCAACACTTACTGAGAAATTCAAACTAGACACAGGAGAACAGACCCTTCGTTTTGTGTTCACGTATCGGTAATCATCATCATCATCATCATTGTCAGCATTGTGAATGTCACTAATTTCAATGTTGAAATTATCCGGCGTTTCCTCAGCGAGTACAACAGATTTAATGTTATTTGTCTTTGGTGTGGAGAGTATGTCTGCAAATAGTGGCACACCGCTGTCTTCTTTTCTGTAATATGTAATAATATGATGACAAATTGCTTAAATAGGCGATTGGATACGTATAGCTCCCTTTCTTGGTATGTAATCAATTTCATTATATAGCAAAGAAGATCATCATGAGAAGTTTGAAGGGCTTTTTCTATTAAAATGAATTTTTTTGTAGTACTAAGACGGTAATACTACTTTGTTGTTCGTTGTTTCCACTGTTGGCAGCTAAATGCAAAACGAGACTCCACCCCTCTCATTTTAGAGATAATTTATGCAAATTTGTCAAATCGGTGTCAGATTTACAAAGGTAACCATGGTTAGGTAAATGTGTTGGATCAGTGAAACATTCTATTTAAAAGATTTATGGAATAGTGTAAATGAAATGTAAGCGTACTAGTTAACATGAACATTATTTATGGTATTCGTACTGGACAGTTGAATGCCAAATAATCAAATTCTCATCATGGTATGTAATTTTAATGTGCTGCTTTTGGAAAATCTTTATGAAATACAGAAATAAACCAAATTTTCCATGTACATAATAAAAACTTTGCTTGATTGAGCTTATTATCACACCCTGACATTGGCTGTACATGTACAAAGATTGTTC